CACACTAATTGAGGCCTCACTGATTCATGGAAAAGAAATTTTTATCAGGTCCCCAACCAGATGGCCCCTAGCTTCCCAATTTATCTTCCAAGCCATCCCAGTTCTACCTTCACCAGGCATGGCAACCAACAACACAGTCACTTAGTTAACTTGATCACCTTCATCACCAAGGAGGGGAGACAACACGGTCTCATGGAAAGACTGCTGTCATTAGGAGCCTGAATGCCTGAGTTCAGATGTGAGCACAATCACTTTTTAGCATTATGACCTTGGTCAAAAAATCCATTACCCTTCCCTGCTCTTCAACCTTTTCCCCTAGAAAATGAGGGGCTTGGACCAGATGGTTTCTAAGGTTCTTTCTTTTGGTATTTTCTACTACTTCTGAAAAACAATTTGTTGTTCTGGTATTCTCAAATAGTCTTCCATACTCCTCTCTTCTACTCACCTTTTCCAAGCCAGGACAAGGCATTTGTGTGTCCAAGGCAAGATTTTTAAGTAACTCTACCTATGTGTTACAGTTCACCAGAAGTTTTTGAGTCAATAATATTTTCCATTGGCTATAACAAAATAATTACCCGTAGGCCATAGAAGAAAAAATATCTGGCATTAATAATATGAAAGTTTAAAAATATTCTATTCCTCCTTATTCAGTTTAATATACTGCTGCACAGAGGCTGTCTCAAACATTTTTGTCTCTTCTTAAGCCTCCCACAGTACCGCTTCCTTGTAGCCTCTTAGCAAAGATCTTTCCTCATTTCACTGAAAAAAATTGAGACTATTCCCTGAGAGCTCTCTTTTTTTTCTTCCTCAGCTCATTTAATTGAGACGTCTCTTCCCACTATCCTCTTCTTCACTTTGTTCTCAAATGAAAAGGTGGCCCTTCTTCCTGCCAAGGCCAATCCCTCTACATACACCCTTGATCCCATCCCCTTCTATCCATTCCCAGAGCCACCACCCTAGTTCAGGCCCTCCTCACCTCTTGCCTGAATTATTAGAATCATCTCTTCCTACTGCATTCCATCCTCCCTTCAGCTGCCAAGATGATTTTTCTAAAGCATAGGTCTAGTCATGCTACTCTCATGAATGTAAGAGCAAGGCTTCCAGCCCACTGTCCATTGCTATCATCCTTGGAAGCAGCCCTTGTGTGGATGCTGCCTGGTGACCTCTCCTCCAGTTGCCCCAGACACAACATTGCTTATTAATTGACTAGTTTAATATTTTCTTGTTGATTAGTTGAAAAAAGGAGAAAAATTTATCCTTTGCATGAATCCTTTGCAGCTACCTTCTTTACCTGCCCCTAGTCCACAGGTTCTTAGCCTGGAGTTCATGGACCCCCAAGTCCATGGATGGATTTGGGGAGGGATCTGTGAACTTGGTTGTGAAATCAGTCAATAAACATTTATTAAGCATCTACCATATGGAAAAAATTGCATCTTTATTTTCACTAACTTCTAACTGAAAGCATTTCCTTCCATTATGAATTTTCAAAACCAAAATATTATTATGAGAAGGGGTCCTAGGTTTCACCTGGCTGCCGAAAGGATCCATGACACAAAAAAACCTTAATCAGGACCCTGATCAGTACTTACATTACTATACCCCCAATACCAATCATATACACACCTCCACTCCCCTGCAAAAAAAAAAACCCAAAATCAAAACTTATTGACCATCTTCTATTTATGTAGTACTGTGCTGCACATTTGAGGGCTGGGGAACAGTAGAAAGCATGAGAGAAATGTATAATAGAATTACACAGATAGGGGTTAACTCTGGTTCTTACTAGCTGTGGATTCAAATAGTACAGTGTTGAGAGTGAGACTGCTAGAGTGTAAATCCAGCTCTAACATCATCTTTCTGACTTTAAGCAAGTAACTTAACTTCCCATGGCCTTAGTTTACTAATTTATAAAATGGTAAAGCTGGGCCAGATGATTTCCAAGATCTCTTCCAGTTTCATGAGTCTGTGACTGACACCTGCCTCTACTTTCCACAGAGTAATTGTGAGGAAAATTCTTTGTAAACTTAAAGTGCTATATACATGTGAGTTATTATATTATATTATTATAGTCTCTACCCCCAAGGAGTTTTCAGTTTACTTTAATAGACTAGATACAGCAGTCTATCCAGTACTTGATATAGAACCAAATTGTATGGGACGTATTGTAATATTTCAGAAATATAAAGAAAACTTTGAATTAGAGTTCTCAGAGAAAGCTTCCCGAAGGGCAAATGAGAGTTAAGCTGGATCTTAAATGATGGGCAGATGGGGTGAGGTGGCATGATAAGATAATGTTTGTTATAGGGGAAAAAAGAGTCCTTTTGAGTTAACAACCTCCTGCAGTGTTGCCCATCCTATAAATGTCTGTTGCCTGCTTCAAGGTTGAAAGCTCTCAAAAGGAAGTTTTGTTTTCCTCAGAGATGAGATTTGTGGTGTCTCTTTTTGCATTTTCAGGGTTTGGGATTGAGCCATAATACCTGAGTCTTAACAGATCAGGTGACACATTAAGCTGAAAAATCTGTCCCTGTGGTTCTGGAGGAAATACTTTCCAGATCTTCTGGCTACAAAGAGGAAGTGGCCATATCCTTTTCTTCTTGGGGGTTGAGTGTGCTGCCTTTGTCTGCCAGCCAAAGATAGATGAAACCATTTTCCCGCCTTCCTCCTGGCTGTTAGGCACAATCCAATCGCATTACTAAGGTCTTTTTACTTATGCTTAAGGGAGAAAATATCGAAGGCTCTGTACAAAGGGCTCTCCTTTCACTTCTTTTGAAAAGTGCTGTGAATGAGTTCTTTTTTCCCCTCATCTCTAAGCCCCAGATCGGATATCCTTTTGGAAAGAAGAGAGGAATTTGCATTGGCATGTTCATGCTACTCTCCAGGCTTCTAGGAGATATTTGACCTGGTCATGTGGCCAGGCTGGCCTCCTCAGGGGAATCCTGAAGTGCCTTGGGCTCCTTCCTCCCTTGTTGTTGCCTGGTGAGGGCTCCAGGGGCAAGAGCACCAACTGAATCTTCCCCCTAACTTGCTGTTGCTCCCTAGAACAAAGCCTCTAGGTCTGAGATTGTGTTTACCCAAGATCTTCCTTGAGGTGGCAATATTAGTTTAAATGTACATAGCACATTATGGTTCCTACATTCTTTGATGGGTAATGTTAAGAGGACCAGACTGAGAATCAAGGAGACCAGGATTCAGATTCTAGCTCTGTAACCAGAGTCATCAGCTTTTCCTTCTCTCCCCCTACCCCATGTGCAGTCAGTCACCAAGTCCTGGCAGCTCTTTCCTCCACATCTCTTGAATCCGAATATTTCATAAATTCAGGTCGTCATCGCCTCTCACCTGGAATGTTGTAACACTCTCCTAATTGGTCTCCCTGCTTATGACTCCGGCCTACCTTTACAGTTCAGCTAGCTATTCTCTGAACACTCCATCTGCCATCTCCATGTATTTATAGAAGTGGTTCTCCATGCCTGAAATGCAGTGCTTCCTCAGCTCTACCTCTCAGGCATCACCTCTTCCATGAAGCCTTCCTTATTTTAGGATTATCTATATACATGTATTTCCTCAGTAGAAGATAAGCCTCTTAAAAGCAAAGACTATTGTTTTTATTTCTCACCTTTGCTGTTAGCATAATGCTTTGGACTTAATAGATGCTTAATAAATGTTTGTTGAAATTGAAACTGACTGTGAACAATTCATAGTCTTTTTCTGAGCCTCAGTTTCGTTTGTACCATTAAGGGGGTTGGATTAAATCATCTCCCTGGTCCCTTAGAGCTCTTAGCTTCTGTGATTCACTTGGTCTTTACAATCCTGAGAAGTAAGTGACATAAGTAGTATAACCTCTTATTAAAGTTATAGGAACTGAGGTTTAAGGAGGCAGGATGCCGAAGGTCACATAGCTAGTAAACACCTGGTACCTGGGTCTTCTCAATCCCAATCCAATGCTTTTTTGAGTAAACCAAGCTGTCTTTGGTAATATAGGTGCACTATCCTGGCCTGCAGGGTTCTCCCTTAAAAGAGTGAGGGCTTACATGTGAGATGCAGCCCCACATCCATGTTTTTTTTCTACCTGTCCAAGCCTTTGAAATAGCTCTCAGATCTCCCACTAGCAGCAAAAGACTCTTAGTCATCCTAACAAATTGCAATATGACTGGTTGCATATGTTGCATCTTTAGCCTCACTTGTGATTCTTTTTGTTCCTTAACTCTTCTGTGGCCAGAAGACTAGCTTTTTAGCTGTGGGTCTGACAAACCTAGGGAGAGAGACAAATATTGCTTTCTCACCAGAGTGGTGCCATGGAGTAGACCCCTACTGAGCCTAGAAACAGTTCTAATTTCTCTATTTTCCAACCAAATTAGATTGCTTGGTGTGCCCTCTCCTGCCTATGTACTACATCTGTGCAGGCTGTCTCTCGTTCCTGATTCATATTTCCTTCCCCATTTCCTTCCCCCATCTCCTTCAAGAATCATTTCAGGTGCTGCCTCTGCTATCAATCTTTCCCTTGTCTCCCTGCAGTTGAATTGCTGTATTCATCCTCAGATTTTCCTAAAGTACGTTGGCACTTCTTTTACCCCTTTCACATTCTACTTTTGTTATACTTATTTTGTACATAATCTCTATGAGATTGAAAGCTCCCTAAAAGCAAGAACTGTGCTCTTTTCCATCATTGTATCTTTAGTACTAATAGATGTTTCTTGAGTTGAATTGAAGCCACACCCTTTGCCAGACACCATTTCTGGATAGGCTTCTTTGGGATTTCTGATGGGGATGTGACTTCTGGAGCTGAGTTATTTATAAATTTATTTATAAATCACTGTATGAGTTGTTTTATCATTTTGATTTTTGGTTTTATTGTTTTGATTCTTACCTTAGGGATACCCAGGCTTCACCTGGGTTGGAATGTGAAATCAGTTCTCTCGTGTTGCTGCAAATACTGTTCTCTAAAGTGTCATTCAAATCTAATGGCCTTTTTTCTCTTTTGTTTTTCTCTTTTTACATTTCAGATTGAAAAGATCATGAGTTCAATCGGGGAAGGCATAGACTTTTCTCAAGAACAGCAGAAGATCTCAGGTACCATTTTAAATGTGGCCAGATGACGTAGTTGGATAGAGCATTATGCCAGTAGGACCAGGGCCCTTCGTACAGGGTTGCTACGTTTATGAGACAGCATATCATGGAAAGAGCACTGGATTGGGGTTCAGATCCATGTTCTGCTTCTGTGAGAACTTGCACACTAAACCTTCCCAAACCTCAGGTTCTTCCTCTTTCTTCCCTACAAGACATGCAGCTAAATTTATTATAAAATAAATAACTGCGTTGGCATGGCTAACTGAACAGCCCTTCCCTCTGTGCAGTATTAACCTTTCCTGATGATGAATTACTTTCTCATCTAAGCTTAGATTTTTAATACAAAAGATTAAAAGCAGCACAACTGATTATTTTATCCTAGTACAATCACTGCCACCAGCTTTGAGAATTTAGAGTCTAGTGTTGTTATTATATGTTCCCCAAATGGCCAACATTATATGAGGGATTGTGTACTTTACATAATAGATGTGTTCTTAAACACACACACACACACACACACACACACTGAATTTTGGTCAATCAAATCCTTTTCAAATGTACTATAATAAACAAGCTGGCTATTAGTCATTTCATTCATAAATTTGGATTTTGATATAAATTTGGTAAAAGTTGGCATATACCTATGTAATAATCACAAAAACATTCTTCCTTTAGTGAACCTGGTATTATTATTAGCTCATTGTAAGACTAAGGACTTTATTGGGCAAATGTTAATCTTCTATTATTAGTTAGACATCAAAATAAAATGAAAGGCTGTGTAATAGAGTAAAAGGTACAGTGAATTCAGTCAGGAGACCGGTGGATGCCAGCTTTGACCCTTAGTGTAATCCACTTGATTTCCCTGAGCCTCAGTTTTCTTATCTATAAAATTGAGATAATGTTATAAGCACTGCCCTATCTACCTCACAGGATAATTGTGAAACAAGTGCTTTGCAAACTGTCAGAGCCCTAGAGAAGTGAGGTTTTGATAGCATTAACTTCTGGACTGACAAAAATGTGATAGAACCTCCTTCCTTAAGATGTCTCAAAAAGAGGCAGCACATATAATGATTAGCATAGTGACTAAAGGGTGGGGGTGTATTGCCTCCAGCTCTCTGGGGGGAAAAGAAGCCTAGATAATCAACAAAATGATAAATCAAGCCCTGATTTGCCAGTTTCTAGGGATAAATGCTTACACTGAAAACTTAACGGTTGGCTCTTGTAAGCTGATCTGAGTTGGCTCTGGCACATCCCAGTAGACTTGGATTCAAAGCTGACCACAGATATCTATTAGGTATGCGATCCTGAGCAAATTACTTAACCTCTCCAGCCTCAGTTTCTTCATCTGTTAAGTGGGGCTGATATTACCTTTTAGTACTTACTACATAGGTTTATTATGAGTATTAAACAATGACCATAAATAATAATGACCATAAAGCACTTAGCAAATCTCAAAGTGATATGTAAATGTCAGTTACTTTTACATATATCATTTTCAAAATTGACTTTAATACCCTTTACCCCAATTTATGATGATACTTGAGTATATGTACTGACTCTTGTGTCTGTTTGGACTTGTAATTTTATTGGTGTAGGAAACTCCCAGGGAAAAACCCCTCTATCAGTGCAGAGCAGCAGCTGCTGTGCTGTGCAGCTTAAAGTTATAATGAGGTTCCTGGAGCCCCCAAAGGTACAGTGACTTGCTCAAGGTCACAAAGTATGTGTCAGAGGCAGGACCTGAGTCCAGGTGTTCCTAGCTCCAAAGCTAGTTCGATCTGCTATGCCACACTATGCCAGACTAATACTGAACTTCCATGACTATCAATCAGTTAGGCAATAAACATTTTGTCCTCTTTGTTATTCTTTTTGCCCAGACATGATTTCTTCAGTGTAGGGAATTCCTTATAGGGGCTGCTCCTGCCAGAGAGATCAGCTCCTGCTTTGCAACTTGTGTGCTTGGAAAGTTGCTTTTGGCACCAAAAGAGGAAGGGACTCGCCCAGGGCCGATGTTTTAGAGTTGTGTGCTCTTACCCGAGTTATAATGACAATGAGCCACACTATACCGCACCCTTTTTATTATTATTATTATTTCTAAACATTAGAAGCAAAGTCTTCTTCCCTGTGACTCTATTTATTTGCATTACATAAGAGACTGTTTATCCCTTGAATTGTTTTCCTGGGTTGGTAGAATTATATTTGTATTTTTTTAATTACCAAATCGGAAGAGTTGTTACAGGTATTTGGAAAAATACATTAGTAACCCTCTAATTGTGCAGGGCATATGTGCTCACAAATTGTCCCCCTACAATCTGTTTGGACACTAGGGAAGCCTGCAACTAAGAGGAGTTGGGTAGTGGCCTTGTTTATAGCAGAGACAGGTTCTCCAGTAGTTAATGTGAATTCCTGACTCCATTAAAAGGAATTGAAACCCCTCTTATTGAAAGTGGTGAATTGAGTGGAGGTAAGTCAGGGTGTTGACCACTGATTGACTTTTATACTAATGCCAAATCCTGCACATGCTATTGTGGGGGCTTGGCAGAGAGTCTGATTGATGACATAATTAATATGGTATCATAACACCATAGGGAAGAGAGAATTGTGCTTTGCTCCAATAAAAGCAAAAATTGCCTTTGTAAATAAAGGGTTCACTAAAATAGAATAGACCTCTCAAAGGAGAAAGACTACTGTTCTGTGGGGTTTATTCAAATCCAAGAAGGCCTGGAGTGGCAACTTCTGTGTTTGTGGCTTTATTTCTCTATTTGCTTCCTTCCCTCTATTATTTTTCAGATTTAGATTCTGGAGTTTTACTATTGACCTCCCCCTATAAGGCAGCAATGCCTTCCAGTTGTCTTGCAGAGAGATTAGGAATGATGTCACTGAATTTTGGGTTTGGAAACCCAACCCGTACAGGAATCCTTTCTACTGTATACCCAACCAGGAGCCATCCAGCTTCCACCTGAACATGTGTGGTGATTGGGAATCTATCATCCCACAAGGCAGGAGTTGTATCTACTTCTTCTATTTTATTTTATCTACCTCTTTCTATTCTTCCTACCTTTGCTTTCTAGGTCCAAGCAAAAGAAGTCTAATTCCTTTATTACTAAGAATACCCATCAGATACCTGAAGATAGCTTTGATATCCCTAAACCTCATCTTTCTTGGACTAAACATTTCCCATTTCCTTTAACCAGTCCATAAATGGCATGGTCCTTTAGTCCTTTCCCTGTTCCAGCATCTATGTTCCAGTTTTTCTGAGAGGTCATTCCTTCTTTTTTGGCCAAGCCCTAACTATTAGTAGGTGACATTTCCTTGATCAGATTGCTCCTTTCCTGGGCTAACACTGAAGCCTCAGCCACAGCTATTTTTTACTCCCCCCACCATTTTTCAGAAGAGGTAAACATGCATGTCCCTAGTCCCTAATCTGAGGATATCTCAAAGCAAAACTTTACTTTTCAGAGTAATTTTTTGTGTACTTCATTAAGCAGGAAGTTAGGCAGTACCTCCTGAACCCTTTTCCAGAGACATCATGACTAGAGAATGATTCTCTGATGGTAGTGCCTTCTTTATTACTCTAATACTTCCTTTCTTCCCACACTGAGTCTATAGGATTCTGCATTGAGAATTGACTACTTTATAGATAAGTCTAATAGAGAAAACACGTTTCATTTGAGTACATTTTAGTTGATTTGTTGCCTCTTTTCTTCTGTACTTTTAACCTTTCCACACTGGAAAAGTGGTATTGAGGAAAATGGCTGCCGTAGCATACATACATTGAGGTCTCTCAGGCCGCTGTTGTCCTGCTGCTGTTAGGGTGTGGAGGATGTGTGCTGGCTGTAATTGATAGTACCAGGAGTCAGCTCTCTTCAGGGCCAGGGAAACAAAGACCCTCGCCTCGGGCAAAAGCAGAAAGGTTTTTATGATGGGGTGAGTGGTGGCAGGGATTCAGCTTAATACTAGCTTTTTGAAGAGTTGAAAAAGAAAGATTTGAGACCTTCATGATGTCCGACAAAGGAGAGGACTCATCGGCAGGCTGCCTTTGGCTAATCAATTTGAATCTTGATGTTACATCATGACTATTGCCAGCATCAGATATGCTGAAGGCTAAGCCCATCCCTTTTGTCTGAGGCAGCAGCATTTTCTTTATCACATTTCTTTAGGCTATGGGGCACTCAGGTTGCCAGGATCGAGAACTCATTATTAGTAGAGTTTCCCTCACATTTATTTCCTCACTTTTTTATTTATTACCCCCTCCATCTTTATTAGAAATCCTGCCTGGGCCCCCAGATCTCCAGAAGAGCAGTGAATTTAATTTGTCTCACTGGTGTAGCCATAGGACAGTTGTTTTTAAACCAAATATCCATGCCATTCAAGGAGAAAGAAAATCACTTTTTCAAGTTTTCATCAGGCCTGGCCCATTCTCTGAGAGCTGTTTTATGGCATTTTCTCTTTTGGATCTTTCATTTTATTCCTAGATTTTCTTCCTGCATTTGAAATTCTGTATTTAGCAATTAGTTCACTATCTACAGTTTTCTCTCCTACAGATTACTTCTAAAACATTCAAGAGTTTGTGATGGTACAGTGCTATGAAGTTGATTTGTAAAAATAAGTAATATAGCCCATCTCATCTCAGGTGCACATAGGATTTATTCCATGCTCCCTTTTGGCCTTTGCCAGGCCCATCTCTTTCCAGTTTTGAATGGTTTGGTAACCTCTCTCATGTCTTTTTCTGAATTTGTTTGATATTCCCATATGGATAACACTTATTGTGATTTCTTGGTTTTACTGTCTTTTTATCACTCTCTGTGGCCTGTGGTTCTAAACAACAAAAGATACATACATTCCTTGAGTGGAGGGAATATTTATCTATGTGGTAATTTACTCAGAGGAAAGGATACCACTTTTTTTTAACCTCTCCCCACTGCTTACCCCTTCCCTTGTCTCATAAGGCTGTTCTCCTGCCTGTCCCAGGAAACTGTTGGCAGAAGCTGCAGGCATCTTCTTTATTCCTCCTAACAGTTCATTTTGGAATAATCATCATCCTTTGGCTTTTCATCCTTCAGAGGTAGCAAACTTGCAGCCTTTTAGTTTTCACCTTCCTCTGTCGTCCATCCCAGAACAGATAGGAAAAATCTGTCATTGCAATTTGATGACTGTGATGTGCCTTTCTCCTCTCCTTTCTTGGCAGTTGCAGCTTTTGCTCTGAAGCTGATCCCTGCTGTATTTTACTGAGCTAGGAAGGGGAGGAGGAAAGGGAGGGGGAAGGGAAGGGGAGGGACAAGCCACTCCAGAGTGAGAAAGGACCAGGGAGCCAGCAGCAGGCAGCCTGGAGCTCAGAGCTCTTAAACAAAGCCTTCTACTGCGGCTTTCAACAAGGACACCCATTTTGCTGGATAAAGGACCACAGCTGTGAAGCTGTGTAATTACAGAGAAGAAATGAATCAGCAGCCGGGAAGGAAGACTCCAGGAGCATCCAAGATTCTGCTGCCTAGCGTCCCGGATCTCTGCTTTCCCCAGTGAGGAACTAGGCACACCCCTGAGCTCCGCATCTTCCATCGCTGCAGTGTGCATCAGAGAGATCACCTAGATCACGAGAGCTCCCTGGCCACGGTCTGTTCAGCAGGAGACAGATGAGGAGAGGGCAGAAGCTGGTTGTGAAGGTTTTAGTCTCCAGGCTTTGCTGGCTCATCAAGCAAGTTGACAGTGTCCTGACTGGGGGTAGAAAGTGGCCTGAAGTGGCCGGAATGGCTCTTGACATCCTGAGAGTTCATCGGAGGTGATGATGATTTTGTAGTTGGCTCCTTTTCCTCTTCGATTTCTTCTTTTCCATTTCTATTGACACCTGCCTTTGGAAGCCAGGTGTACTAAACGGGCTAAGAAGCAGGTCGATGTCTGTACATTTGCCACCACAGATCCTTCAAGGACTACCAGGAAAGTGTGAACTTTTTTCTCCCTTGTTCTATTTACTTCTCCAGTTGTAGAAGAAGAGAGTAGCAAGTGACTGTCTTCTCTTGTCAGCTCATTTCCATAGGCGAAAGGACAACATCTGGGAGCACTATGTGTAGGCACCCCAAGGGGAAAGTTGGTCTTGTTTATTTCTAAGCCAAAAAGATCAGCTACCAGCCGTCAGTAGACTTGAGCTACCACCTACCAACAGACAACCAATCTCTTCTTTTCCCTTTCTTTCCCTTCCCTTAATTGGATTGTTTTTAGGAAAGAACCAAATCTACCTCCTTACTCTTGAGTTCCCTTTCTGTCTGCTTGGGGTCAGTCATAGAATCAGCTGTACTTAGAGGAAGAAAATGAAGCGGTGCAAAGTCCATGCCCTAGATAGTACCTGGCAATACAGATAGGGAGATTGTGTGGACAGTGCTGCCTTCTCTTGACTCCTTGTGAGATGTTCCATTAACCAGAATCTAGATGTTGAATCGTATTCTCACCCCAATTAGCTGAGCACCCAGTTGGGATGGTGCGCTGCAGGGAAAGTTAGTTGTTCCACGCCTGAGCCAGGATCTATGAGCCCCAGCCTTTTGCTGTGTTATGCTAAATAACAGGAAGAGGTGGTGGCCATGGTTTGCTTATTTCGAGACTGCTGGGGGAAAAAAAGTAAAATTATTTTTTGCTCCCACTGCCTTTTCTTTGTGCTGCTTGACTTGCATGTGCTGGGCTTCCCACAAATAGCCGATCACTAGCCTGGCTGCTGCTGCTTCCTCTCTGAGCCCTGGCTGTGTATCTGTGTCCTTCCGCTGCATGAAGATGTCTTTTCTCTCGTGACTGATTTGTGCTGCAGGGTCACAGGACTTGTCCCTGGCCCACAGGACAGGGTGGTGCTTCAGAAGTGGTGTGGATAAGGGGACTTGGCTTATGAGCTAATAGCAGCTTCTCTCTCACCTTGAGCTCCTGCAGGGACTGACTGTCTGGAATGCCTCGGGCCAAATGCCGGCCCCTCCCTGATGAGACAAAGAGTTGACAGACTTGAGCCACCACTTGGGGGATGGATTTCCCCCCTAATGTGTTTGCAGGAAAGCCCAGAGATCAGTGCATGTGTCACTGTAGTCCCAGCCACAGTTCTGGTTTTTAGGGGTTGGCTGCAACATCCCTTTAAGAGGGATAGTGTGTATAAAGCCACAGAAGCTCTGGCCCCATGGTCTGTGTACAGAAGAGGAGTTGTGGGTCTGATGTTCTGTTGCACCCTTGTACGTAGTTTGGCTGCTTGATAGTAATGACCATGATGTGGCAATGCCATCTGTCTTCCTCTGAGTGCCGCTGCTACCGCCTTAATGGTTTTTCCCTGTTCAAGCGTCTGCCGATTCCTCTCTCGTCAGGTTCACGGATGTTGGAGCAGAGTGTCGGGGAGTGGCTGGAATCAGTTGGTTTGCAGCAATACGAAAGCAAGTTGCTTCTGAATGGCTTTGATGATGTGCGCTTCCTGGTGAGTCCTCTCCTCTGCGGGCGTTCTTTAAGGATGAGAATTCTACTTGAAGGAAACATTCCTCCCTATCCCCCAGTTCCTTCCTCTGCCCTTTCTATCTAAAGTCTTTGCTTTTTGGCAAAAGAAATAGGCACATAGCAGGTACCTAATAAATGCTTATTGACTGACTTTTCAAAAAATAGTAAGTAGAATCACATTCCAGGCACATCAAACTGAAATCTTAGACATCTGGAAATCAACCTCCATAAATGAATGTCTCAACTGTGTGTCATCTCTCCATGCTCTTTGTCCCCATCCCCTTATTCCAGAAGCAGTAGACTCAGCCTCATTGGACTGTCTGCCAGTTTCTTCTCAAGAGGACATTCCTAATCATTATTTTGGCCCTGGCTTCCAATGTTGAGCCCCAGGTCATTATGGTGGACTTCAACTGCTCGCAGTTAGCTTGCCCCAAGTCAGTATCAGAAGTTCTGACGCTGATTGGAAAGGGGGGAAGGAACGAGCACTCTACCTGCAAAAACTCCTCCAAACTCTGCCTTGTCTAAGTTGGGTGTATCATTCTCGCTGAGACGGGGTAGGATTGTTTAACTCCTTATTTCACCTGGGACAGTCAGACATCTGCTACGTGCCAGGTCTACTTTGCTGGTACTCATAAAGTCACATATGGAAGAGGTAGTTCTAATAATTAGCAATAATGCAGTGCTCCCTTTCATTTCTGTACCAAAAGACTTGGATGATGTTCTAAAACTCCCCCCATGGAGCCGCAGGCAGATATAAAAAGAAGCATTACACAAAGTGCCCAAAGGTTTGTCATCTACAGTTTTGAGACATGGAAACTGACACTCAGTATGAGAAAGTGCTTTGTCTAAGGTCACATGGTAAATTTTTTTATTATTATAGTACCCACTTGTGCAAACCCTCTCTTTCTCTGTCTCTCTCTCTGTCTCTCTCTCTCTGTCTCTTGCTGTCTTATTCTCTCAAAGCATGTTCAGTTAGGATACTATTAAAGGGCATAGAAGCTCTAGACACAGGTGTGTCCCTAGAGTGGCCCTTTACCTCACCCTAACTTTAGAGCGGGTTGTTGTGCATTCATTTTGGTTGTGTTTGACTCTTCATGACCCCATTTGGGGTTTTCTTAGCAGAGATACTGGAGTGGTTTGCCATTTCCTTCTCCAGTGGATTAAAGCAATCAGAGGTTAAGTGACTTGCCCAGAGTCACATAGCTAGTTAAGTGTCTGAGGCCACATTTGAACTCAGGTGTTCCTGACTCCAGGCCCAGTGCTCTATCTACTGAGCCATCTAGATGCTTTCTAGACAATCAGAGGTTAAGTGACTTGCCTAAGGTCACACAGCTAGTAAGTGTCTGAGGCCAGATTTGAACTCAAGTCTTCCCAATTTCAGTGAAAGTTGAGAGGCAGCTAGTGGCATAGTGGAGAGAGCATTGAATCTCAGGTCAGGAAGACTTGAGTTCATATCTAGCTTCAGACACTTCCTACTAGCTGTGTGACCCTGGGCAAGTCACTTAACCTTCATCTTCCTTAGTTTTTTCAGCTGCAAAATGGAGACAATAATAGCACCTACCTCCTGGGTTATTGTGGGAATAAGATGAGATAATATTTTTTAAAGCATTTAACACAATGCCAGTGGATGCATAGACATGCTGATTGATTCTCTTATTCTTCCTTCCTTAGACTAGAATCTAGGTCTCCAGACTTTCATTTTTCTTTCTACTAGATGTCAGTAGAAACAATGAGCTTCAGGGTTAGTCTCTCTAACTGCTTGTGCTAATTAAGAGGTAAAAATCGATTCTTCAGTCTCAACCTATGGGGGCAAAATCCCTTGCATTCAGTAGGACATGGAGTTTTCATGCTGTGTTCTTCTGCACTAGAGGAACCCCAAGAAGATTCCTGAGATACTATACTTCTGTAACCACAACCAAATTGCTGCTACTCTTGGGATCATATGGCAGATATTTTTTTCTTGGGTGCTAGAATTATTCATGAATAGAGCGCAAGGTCTACATTACTAATAGTACCAACCTCCTGTTAATAATGCCACCTTGTTGTTTATATATTGATTTATAATTTTTCAGAGTTCTTTCTTATACATTATTATTAGCTAAGGTATGAGGTGAGTCTCCAAAAGCCTTTTGGAACCTTTCCCACTTCTTCCTGTTATGCTGGTCCCCAGACTTCCAGAAATCTTTGAGAATGTAGTCATGTACATAGTCTTATATCATTGCCCAAAGCTATCCAGCTTCTGCTTATGAGGTACCTGGGAACAGTGCTCAGAGTTGGGCTTCACAACCATTGTGTTCTTGTAAATTTCAATCTGGAAACCAGATTGAAATGACTAGGAATGAGTGCATCTGCTGTCATTCCTGTCCCCCTGGGCAGCTTCCAGTGAGCTGACCCAATACTTCCTAGAGGGTCCCATAAGACCCACCTAGTTTAAATGATCAAACCCAAGATTTTGCTTTTAGGGCAAGCGGGGGTACATGAGATCAAACTTTTGTTTTCAGGGTCAGCTCTGGGTAGAGTTGGAAGCTAAGTATCCAGGACTTTATTTTAAACTTCCAAAATTTTTTTTAAATTTATTTTTAACATACTTTAAACATTTTTGAATTCCAAATTCCCTCCCTCCAGTCCCCCACTTATTGAGAAGGAAAACTATATGATAGCCATTTAACATGTGAAGTCATTTAAAACATATTGCAATATTAGCCATTTTTCTCCCCCCCCCAAAAAAATTGGAAAAAAATGCTTCAATCTATACTCAAGACTTCATCAGTTCTTTGTCAGAAGGTAGATAACATTTTTATCAGGAGTCCTTTGGAATTGTCATGGATCATTGTATTGATCAGAGTAGCTAAGTCTTTTCAGAGTTGATTTTTATTCTATCACAATCAGATAGCATAACTTGTTCAGCCATTCCCCAATTAATGGACATCCCCTCAATTTCTAGTTCTTTGTCACCACAAAAAGAACTGCTGTAAATATGTGTGTACATACAGGGTCCTTTCCTTTTTTCTTTGATATCTTTGGGGTACAAACCTACTCATGGTATTTCTGGGTCAAAGGGACGTTCAGTTTTATAGCACTTTGGGCATGGTTCTAAATTACTCTTGGGGATGGTTGGACCAGATCACAATTCGACCAACAGTGCATTGGCCTACTTATTTTTCCACTATTATCCCTGCCAACATGTGTCATTTTCCTTTTCTGTCCTTTTCCTTTTCTCTTAGCCAATGTGATAGGTGTCAGGTGGTACCTCAGAATTGTTGTAATTTGCATTTCTGTAATTATTAGTGATTTAGAGCATTTTTTCATATAATTGTGGATGGCTTTGATTACTTCTGAAAACTACCTGTTTATATCCTTTGGCCATCTATTAATTGGGTAATAGTTCTTATTTTTATAAATTTGGCTCAGTTCCCCATATATTGGAGAAATGAGACCTTTACAGAGAAACTCAAAATTTTTTTTTTAAATAAATGACCCAAGATGGTCAACCATTGCTGCTGTGGCCTCTGTATGAAAGTATAGGACCTGCCACCTTCCATAGATCGACAAGTAATAGAAGGAGGAGAAGAAAAGAATGAAAGAAAGACAAGGGGAAGGAAAGAAGAGAGGGAGGGAGGGAAGGAGGAAAAAAACCACAAAGGAGTGCTAGAAAGCAGTGGGGAACAGGAAGAGAGTATGAGAGGTGGCATAGAGACTTGGACCCCAAACAAGAGAAGGCTCACTTATTAGAGCTGGGAAACTCAAGGTTGAATTCTAAATTTCTAGTGAGCTGGAAAGGATAAGAATGCTTAGAAAGTCCCATACCTTTCCATACAAGTGGACAAGGAAGGTCAGCACTGAACTCTGTAGGACTCCTCCTTGCTGAAGTGAGCTGTCTTTCTTTGACTGTGCTCTTTAGGTATAACCAGCCCTTCTGCCTCTCTACACCTCAGATTAGCTTATTCATTTATTTAACAAACATTAATTATCTGGCATGTGCAGAAAATTGATCTAGGCACTCTGTAAGGTAGAAGTTGAGATAAGACATAGTACCTATCTTATTTATTGTCTCATAGCCAGTGAAGTTGGGTTGTAACTTACAGTTCCAGTCGCAGTGCATTTCTTTTTCAGAGGCTAAGCACTTAGGAAATCTAGTCTCTGACTTTTTTTCCCTTTCCTACTCGTTCCAAAATGGTTGCCATTCCTAAACCACAAATCAATAAGATTCTCTGACATCATTCCACACACTCCTGAGGCAGGGAAGCTAAGCCAGCCTCTACAGTTAGCTTTCTTTTCCTTTTTGGGCTGGATTGATGCTGTTTTTTAAAAAGTCAGCTAACTCTAACTACTCTCCTCACTCTTCTGTGACAGTGGGAACTTCAGCTGGAGAGTCTGGTTGTGTTTGTTAAAGCAGACACATTTACATGTGTTTGTTTTCTAATTCTGAATGAGCAGTAAACTTTAACTCATGCTGGTGGACGCATGAGTATGTTAGTATTACTCCTACTTCTCTGATAGTGTAGAGTATAGAAGTCATTGTTACTTCCTTGATCTGTTCAGCAGAGTGCTTCCTAGGGGACTACTTTTGTAAGTAGGATAGATGCAAGAATTAATTCTGATTATAGCCTTGTTGAATGTTGCTTCAAGTATCTTAGTAGCCATACAAAGTACTGTGGATAATTGCATGTAAATTGCCAGATGGGCTATAAGGCTAATTAAGTTTTAGTAACCAGAAAAGAAAGAAAAAAAATCAAGAAAGTGTTTTGATTATTGAGACATTCCCTTATTACCTATCCTGCAATTTGCATCCCAGTATCCATGGCTCATCCCTGTGTAGTTCAGTTTTCATTTTGCTAAGAATATTTCTCTCTATATTGAAATGACCTGGTGCTCATTTGTAAAATGCATACATAGAGTATCCCAGGAAGATGTACTAGATGTTCCAGATGTACTAGAACCTGTCACATATCTGGAGATGGATAGGGATTTCCATCATCTTGA